ATATTCTCAATGGTGAATACTTATTTAACGAAATAAGACAACGGGGAATTGAGTTGTTACCAGAATATCTATTATATCATACATTATCTTCTGTAACTTAATAAGTACCATATAAAAGTAATCTCTTTAAAATGCGATGGTACTGCACAAATATTATGAATTATGATCAACTGTTGAGTAAAATGCAGCATGCATCAAAGTAGTTCATTTACATTATTAGTAATATACTAAGGTAATTTTCAATTCAAATATTATTACATATGTATGATACATATGCTATCAATATTAAAAAAAAAAAAAAGTAATACAAATTATATTCCCACAGCGTAGATATATTTTATAAATTTTCTCAGATTCTTTTGTAAATTATACTTTCTTATATAATAAATCCATTAAATAAAATTATTATCAATTATCTACTATTTAAAAAATTATCATCTATAGCCCATCATTTATCAATTATCATTTATCAAGTATCAATTATTATTTATTTATTATTTTAATATTAATCATAGGAATATTATAATATTTTAAATAACAAGAAAACAAAATTATTTTAGTTTTTTGAAAAATTATTATATTTTTCGATCAATGAATACAGTAGATAAATAAATATATTTAAATTAGTTTTTTATTTATATAGTCATTTCACCCATTATTTGATATTAATTGATCCATTATTATTACAATCGAATTATATAATGGCTTGAATATTAATTATTAGTTCCTTATAAATGTAAAACCAATAGAACTTATTGTTGGTATAATATTCATCATATTAATAATACAATATTACCGAATAATATTATTATCAAGGAAAAATCTATTGCAAGAGATAAAATTTTAAAAATTAAGAAAAATGAACATATAAAATATTATATAAAAAAAATACTTACTTGTTGTTTGTACACAAAATTCTTTTTGGATATTCTCATTTGATTATATATTTATGAAAATATACATTCGAATTTAAATTTGAAATTTCATTTCAAGCATGCCCTTGTTCGTAATTAAAATTCATAATTTGAGATCAAAGATTGGATCCTAATAATTTCTCAATACTTTTTATTAAAAAATAAGAGTTTTAATGTAAATAGATATAAAAAGAAATGATATTTTCTTACATGAAATTAATGATTATACATTTAAATTGTAATAATTGATTTAATATTTTAAAATACAATATGAAATTAAGTCTAATATTACTCAGATGGTATTCAGATTATTCAGATTTACATTTATGGACGATATAAAAGAGGATATATATTTTTTACTTTCAGCAAAAAAAGATTAAAGATTATTAAAGTTTTCTTAGTATGAAGTATAATTTATGTATATTCAAATGCAATTGAATATTATAAATTATCCAATAGTCATAATAACAATAGCACAATGAAAGTCTTTATTAACTTCATAGCACAAAAATGTTGAATTATTAAATGAATTTCATTTATTCCCAATGTCATATTAAAAATATAGTAAAAGCAGATATAAAACTGCAATAAATCAATGCAGATGATAATTCATCTTAGAAAATAAATTAAATTAATTATATTTGTATAAAAGTACAAATAATTTTTTTGTTTAATATTAGCGAAATACCTATTTACTATTTAAATAAATAAATATTGATGTTCACAATGCACGTAAGTTTTATACATAGTGCAAATGAAATAAGTAATCTAGCTTTGATTAATATAATCCACTGACACAATTTCTTTAAAGAATTTCCATAGACAACAACTCTTACACTTAATCACGTAAAGAATTATCCTATCAACCAAATAGTAATATAAAATTAATTAGTTTTAATGATTAACTATAATACATTATATTGCATAAATTCATTATTAACTTGTAAAGTAAAAAGATTTGATACATTATACATTAATTAAATTCATTCGGACATTGAATATATTAAATTGTAATTATCATTATTAATAATTTGAAATTAAAATTATATGCATAAATATCTGAATTTTATATAAAATGCGTAATCGTTTGATTTACTTAATGTTTAATTATAAAGTTATATTTTAATTCATAATTATGAGTAAATTAATTTGTATTAAAATTATAATATGTAAGTCTCGTATCTCTCAATCTAATCATAATCAATCTAATCAGTTATTAAATACGTATTAAAGTCATTTGTTGACGATTTTAAATTTGCATATATATATATATATATATATATATATATATATAAATTTTGTAATTAGAATGTATGTATATTTTAATAGGAAAAATTAATAACGTAATATCGATTTTCTGAATATTTAGATCTTTTGATTAGCAAACTCAATATTTTCAATCTAAAAATTTATGGAATCATTTGTTAAACAATACTAATTTCATATTTTACTTGAAAATTATGAAATAAATGAATATTCATATATAATTAAATATATAACACATTATCAGAATCTAACAAACAATTTTAATATGTAAATAATTAAGCATTTGAAAAAAATGAAAATACTCTCTTTCTAGTCGTTGTTACATTCTGACTTTATTATCTGAATAAATCACGTAATCGTAAAAGTTGCACACAATTTTATATCCATAAAAAATTAAGAAATATAATATTATATTATATTCTTCTATTATATAATTAAAAACTTCTATTTATACTTTTATTTAGTTATATTATGTTCTTCTTGTTTTAAATCAACATCAATTATATAAAATACCTTTATACCAAAAATGTTACTCAATATATTCTACTTATTATTAAAAAATTTTATTTTATATTTTTTTATAATCTGCTTGTAAATTTATATAGTTATTAGAAGTATATTGGACTTATTGTATTATTTTTAAATAGAATGAAATATATATTAACTGTATTTTTTATTGATATTAATAACAAAATTTAAATAGATACTTATTTAATAAAAATAAATTATAAACAAAGATAAATAAAATATTGTAGTATGGAAAGTATAACGGAAATTAATATTATACATGTTTATAGATAAATAATATCAATTTCAATATAAAAACATTACACCTATAATAACCGAAGCCTATATAGTAAAAATAGAAATATCAATTAAATGCTATATATATATATATATATATATTAATAACAAATTAAATAGTATATATTAATTCTACTATATTGGCAGGAGGCCGTTTATGGACATAATTTCCTTTAAAATATTTACAAATTAAAATATTAAAAAAATTTTAAATATTTTTTATTTAAACGATTTTATGACGTTACATTGAATATTTTATTATATTATATACTTTTTGCTTTGAGAAATTTAACTGGAGTGCATGTCGAGTTATAATAATTTAACATATAACAATTAAGATTGGCCCATAAAATATATTATTAAATTTCATAAATAATAGTAAACTTATTATATAAATAATAATATTATTATTGCACTTATGAAACGCAATATAATGGTATAGTTATTTATAAATACTTATATAAATAGAAGTAATATTTATAAAGCTATAGATTAATAAACCAATTTCATCCGATGAGTCATTAGCATTAATAAATGGATTGGATATATAATCAGCATATTAAATATAATTTATATACCGACAAAAATACAATTAAAACTTTTAAATTCAAGTTGATCTTCAATATAGAAATGAATGTCAGTTCTAAATATACTTATTAGATATGATATGATCTTAATGTCATCTTTGCATGATCAAAGAGTACACATTATATGTGAAAAAAGATGCATATACTGACAGGAGACCATCTGGAAGATGAAACTTAACGCGAAATTGTATTGCTAAAATTAGTCGCATTCAAAGGCGATCGGTTCAATGCACTCATCGGGCTTCCTCTATAGTATAATAGAAAGTTATCGATATGATCTGCATTAAGCCAGATATATTTTAAAACATTAATGGACATCATTGTGAAATATTGACTAAGAAAATATTACAACATATTTACTTGTATAGACTAAATTTTTAACTAATACTCTTTACTTCCTGTATTACGTAAACAGAGCTAAACGGAGGTTGGTTCAATAGACATTATAAGAAGTAATTATACGAAGAAATTTTATTATTAAATTGTTTTCATTTATTTAATAGCTAAAAAAGATATATTTTTTCAATTAGAAAATGTATAATTTTTAATAGTAATTGCTATAAATACGATTATTGCACGTAATTAAAATAGTTGGATAATCTGTACCTTTATATTAAATTTCGAAGTACAATATTAAACTTTATCTATCAAACAAAGATTTTTCCAAATTTATTTTCTAAATAAAACATATATGAGTAATAAACTTTTCATTTCCAATTAAATGTTATTTTAAAATATGAAAGAATTATTCCTTAAATTTTGAAAATCAATAAAAAATGTTCAACTTCGATAAAAAGTATTAAGTTTGTTGATTTGAAAAATTTCTGTTTAAACTCACTTTATTTATATAATATGTATAAAATAATATGATTCACAATTTCTATAATGTAAATCATATTAATTACTATATAAAATAAATTTATTAAAAAATGTATAAGCAGCTTAACAAGTAATATTGTATTAACTAAAATCATCTATTAATTACTCAAAGCAATTTATTATTAATATAATTATAATTATATTTAAGATAATTGCAATATATAAATATTCATACAATTGTAATATAAGATTATAATTATTGTAAGAATAAAATATGTTTTTAATAAAACATTTGAATAATCAAGTTTAAGTATTTATATTTCATTATAAATTTTTTTTATATTTGCTATTAATAAAATATGAATATAATAAGGAAAATTAATATTGTCAGTAAAATTTAATAAATATATCTGTTTCAATTTTCATAGTAACACATCTCTAGTAATTATTATTATTTGTCTACATTATAGCTTAAATAATTTTAATTTATTTTCGTATTTAATAAATGCCTTTTACTTTAAGTAATAAACTTAAATAATAAATTATATATACATATATATGTATTTTAATATTTGAGCTATAGAAATACAAAAAAGTAAAAGAAACTTACTGGTTCTATTACACCATTACCACTTTTTCCAAGAGAATGTCCTTCTGTCCAGCCCATTTTTAGCAACATTTTAAATCCCATATTATCTTTTGATATGTGTCTAATTTAAAAATACAAATATAGTTGTAAAATTAGACATAATAAAAATAGAATTACTACATTTCTAAAAACTTACTTATCCAAAGAACTTTGTTGTGTTTTAAAATGATCACTTGTTGAACCAAGTTGTTCTCTTCTTAATTGTGCTCTATCTTGGTAGCCTAAAGCTAAACGATATGCTGATTCATTATTATATTGTTCAATGCCAAATTTGGATTTCAATCGTTTTAATTCTAATCGATGTTGAGTTTTCATAGGTACACTTTCATCAGTAACAGCATCGGATAAAAGTAGTCCTGGCTCACAATGACCACATGTTTTATGTCCAGTATGAATATGGCATAGGAGTTTTGTACAATCAACTTGTAATATTTCTTCATTACTTATTGAACCAAGTTCTTCTCTTCTTAATTGTGCTCTGTCTTGGTAGCCTAAAGCTAAACGACATGTTGATTCATTATTATGATCAATGCCAAATTTGGATTTCAATCGTTTTAATTCTAATCGATGTTGAGTTTTTGTAGATATACTTTCATCGGTAACAGCATCAGATAAAAGTAGTCCTGGCTCACAATGACCACACGTTTTATGTCCAGTATGAATATGGCATAGGAGTTTTGTACAACCAACTTGTAATATCGATCCATGTACGATTTCAGTTTCATTAGATTCTTGTTTTGCAGCTGAAAGTCTTTTACCATTGAGAAATGTTCCATTTCTTGAACCCAGATCAATTATTTCATAGACTTTCTTTTTTGTATTATACTGTACTTTTGCATGATACTAAACAATAATAATGTTTTTAAATGAAATTATTAAAAATGAATTGTTATAATAAAGACTTCTTTATAATTACTTTGCTTATATTTATATCCGATATAAGAACTGAATGGTCTCCTTCTCTTCCCAATGTTCCTCCAGTGCAAGTAACAATAAATAACGATCCAACTTTAAGATTAGATAAATTTGTCTCTTTTACTATAATTCTCATGCATGGTGGATAAACTTTAGCTAAATTTATAAAATAAATTATTAAAATAATTTTGTCAATGAACAGATGTTTATACAATTTAATATTAAGAATAGAAAATCTATAAGTTATAATTTTAATATAGTTTAAATACAAAAACTAAAGAAATAAACCTTCATCGTTTTCAGTGTCACTGTTACTACCAGATGATGACCTTGTATCTTCTTTGGAGCTTAAGGTTTCGATATCTTCATTATCCGAACATTCTCCTTCCTTAGATTTATCAGCATTACTCTGATTACCTTCTTGCATCAATTTGACTTTCTTCATTTTGGCCTGTAAGGGAATATATATATCCATATCAAAAGTTCAATATTATTGCCTAAGGCATTTTGCCTGAATCTTTGAATTAATATTATGGAAAGACCAGTTATTATCTCATGAATATCATCCAAAACCTATAATCAAGAAACTATTTTAATAGAATAAAAATTATATAAATATATGCATTATTTCTAAATAATTCAAGTATCAAATATATATTTAATATTATAAAATTTAATATTAAATCTATTATAGTTATGTATGTTTATATCAAATATATGATTTATATTACAATAACGTGATATAAGCAAATCAAAATAAAAAAAATGATGAATGTATTTGCAAATTATAATAACAACTTTCAAATTACATTGTGATTATATAATTTATAATGTATATTTATATATAATTAAAAAAAATATATTATAATTCTTTTACAATAGCAATAGATAATAAATTTAATACTTGAATTACTTTCTATTTTTATATAAACATTTTACCTCTTCTTTTTTATTTTCATTTATCGTATCCTTAATATAACATAATACATCCGAGTCATTTTGAATTTGGCTATGAAATTTATAAGATTTATTTTCTTTATCATAATAATAATAGGTGCCAGTGTTTCCATTGTAATACAAGCCAGATTTCTAAAAAATAAATAGAATAATGACAAATGGATATAATTATCAATACAAATTCATTTAATTCAATGCATACTGAATCATAATAATAGCCTGAATTATAGTGGTAATATAAGCCTGTAGTTTGTTCATAAACAAAACCTGTCTGTAACATAGCTAACTCTGCAGATTGTGTAACCTGATCGGCTATACTCATTTGTTTATCATTATTAATAACCCATTCCTGAACTAAGGAATTCTCTTCTAATTCCAACCAATTAGATTGTGTTTCATTGTCTTTAAAGCTTTTTTCTGGAGTAATTTGATTTTCCTAAACATATGTCCATTACGTTTTAACTATATTATTTTAATAATACTTCATATAAAAGTGACTCAAATTAAAATACTCACATAATTTGTTAATTTATTTTTTAATTCAGTTATATCCTCTTGTTGCAACTTTAATTGCTCTTGAAGTTCTTGTATATATTCAATAATGTGTGGAAAATCAACGAGCTCATCGGTAAAATTCTTTTTTTCAATATTTTCATTACAGGCACAATTTACAATTCTTTCATTTACTTTCATTATTCAGTTTATTTATAATTTTATCTACAAAATAATTCTGCTATTACATTGCTTTAGACAAATTTATATATTTCAAATCATGTTAAATTAATAAATCTTTAGATAGATAGATAGATAGATTGGATTAGATTGATTCTTAGTGTTACAAATCTATTATTTTATCACTTTATAACTTTGTTTAAACTGTTATTATATCACACACAAAATTTTTGTTACATACTACACTGTACAACTAATACGCAAGATGGATGGAATGTAGGTTATGCAGAGTTGAATATTCAATTTTTTTATGATTTTCAAAATTCGGTATCATGGGTACCATTCTTTAAATCTGCTTTAAAAATATACTTTCAATATTGAATAATTATTGATAATGTATTTTATACGTTTATTATAAGCATAATCGTTGTAAGTGCTAACACTAATTTTAACACAAAAATGTGAAAATTATTTATTAAAAAAATACTGACGACTTTATAATGTTTGTATTCGTTTTTAAGTTTAAAATTATTACTGAATACGATCGAAATTGTAAAGTTACGACTAAAAATACATAAAAAGTATTTTTAATTTTGATACATTTATATCAGATTATATAAATAATATTTTGAATTATTTCATTATACCTTTAAGCATTTATATCTTTCTATTTTTAAATATTTGTTATAATAAGAAATTTATACATTTTTTAATCTGTATTATCAATATTATTTTAAAAATTTGATGTTATACACTATTAGGGTAGTGACATTAGCAGATAAAATGATGAATAATTATACTGTTATTGTATAGCCACACTTGTCTTCTGTAATTACATTACATTTACATAAATATAAATAGTTTTACGTATTTAAGTGATCTAAATAATTTGAAGATTTATTTAGTAAACTTTGGTTTGATAAGCCTACTTCGATTGAAAATTTGTTCAATGTGTGGAAAGATATTCGTGTATCAGTATTTTTAGAACATTTATCAGTATATATATATATATATATATATATATATATATTAATTTTCCAACAATGTTTGTAATTCTTAGAAAAAGAGAATAAAATAAAATTAAACATTTATTTTTATTTTAACAGTGTGATTTGCTAATTGAAAAATTAGAATATGATCGCCTTTCATTTGCGTATTGATAATTACATTATTAACAATTAATTTACTTATGGATCATCTCAAAAAGTTCATAATTAATTCGAACTCGGCAATATTATAATTAAAATAAAATTATTTACAATTTTAAACATTACTTATTTCAAAATTGAAATATTACCGTATCTAGTTTAATTTTAATTTTAAAAACTAATATTGATATTTAAATTGAAATGTCTATTATTGAAATTTGATATATTTACATTAACGTGATGTGAAGTTTTGAATTTTCACGCGGGTATGACGAACTTATATTTTCTACGTATTATAAAAATGCAGTATATTTTAAATGTACTTATAAGAAATATCTAAGATCGATTTAATGAGTTAGCCATTTGAATAATGAAGTAATAACATTGTGAGATAAGGGAGGTTCGATATTGTAAATTATAAGCACCGATTCAACAGTGGGTGCAATCGGTTCAAGGCCTTACAAGTGTTACACCTGGTAAATACCTGGTCTAATCTTCGATTAAATGTACTTGCTCATTTAATAACGCTAATTCATCAATTGTCAAGTTCTTATATTAATAAGACACAATCTATAATCAAAACTAAGCATTTTACAAAGCACAGTTAGGCAGAAAACCGATGCATCATACATAAAGCAGTGATACCAGCATACCTGCGATGCAAAATCAATGATTGGCTTTTAGGAGCAGCTCCTATTAGTTTATTTTTTGTATTTTAACATCGATTGCCAGAAGATCTTCAATAAAGTTTTTTTTTTTCATTTTGTGTAAACATGGTATTGTAATAAGAAGCTATTGAATAATAATTCCTTTTTCTTTCAAGCGGCGTAACAGGGTTGCAGTTCTAGAAGTTTCAAAATTTACACAATGCATATGTATTTTTGAATTGCCGAAGCGCGTGTGTAGTAGCACACAAGTTAAAAAGTGATGAAACATGTTTATTGTATGCGCAGTAAATATTAAAAACGGTTAGTTCTTACTTTTGACGATAACAAAATTTGAATACTCCAGCATCTATTATGGTACTTAATATTATTAAACAATTGTAAAGCTCGAGAGTAGTCTACATGTTAATGATATTTTTAAATAATGGAAAGATTACAAATAAATAAATAAAGATCAATTTTTCCTTATCGAATTTACACTACACTACAATTCTTTTAAGGATTGATAAATTTGAAATTTACTATAGCTAATGTAAAAATTATTCCATGTAAAAGCCAAGGCCAATCAATTTGCTTAGTTGGATGCCTTAGCTGTGCACGATAGATGTGCATGCATGCATCGATTAGGTACTTTGTCACTATATACAAAATTTAATTCAATTTTATAATATTTAATTTAAGAAATGTTTGTTTTATAAGTTCAATATATAAATAGGAAGTAAGAGCAAGAAATGAATATTCACTTAATAGGTAGTTTATTTGCATTGCAAATAATTAACGTATTTTCAAAGGTATATATTAAAATTTATATACACAAATTACGAATAAAAGCATTTGAACAATTTTTTATTTACAAAATAATTAGTAAGTATTTACTTATCTATAGTAATTATTTGTATTATAGATACCACATTCTTTTGCAAAAACTGGTCATTCAAACAATTGGGCAGTACTAGTTGATACATCACGATTTTGGTTTAATTATCGACATGTGGCAAATGTTTTGTCTATTTATCGGAGTGTTAAACGACTGGGTATACCCGATTCACAAATTATTTTAATGATTGCTGATGATATGGCTTGTAATCCAAGAAATCCACGTCCCGCAACTGTATTTAATAATATTAAACAACATATTAATGTTTATGGTGATGATGTAGAAGTAGACTATAGAGGTTATGAAGTAACTGTTGAGAATTTTGTTAGATTGTTAACTGGACGATTACAACCAGAAACACCTAGATCTAAGAAACTATTAACTGACGAAGGTTCTAATATTCTTATTTATTTAACTGGCCATGGTGGTAATGGTTTCCTTAAATTTCAAGACTCCGAAGAAATTACTAGTCAAGAATTAAGCGATGCTTTAGAACAAATGTGGCAAAAAAGAAGGTATCATGAGATTTTGTTTATAGTAGATACATGTCAAGCTAGTTCCATGTATGAGAAATTCTATTCACCAAATATACTAGCTGTAGCATCTAGTCTAGTTGGAGAAGACTCACTATCCGTAAGTTTAATTTTATTTTGTATACAGCTTATGTTTGATTATTCTAAAAAATATATTTGATCATATGCTTAAAATTATAGCATCATGTAGATCCTGCTATTGGGGTTTATATAATAGATCGCTACACTTATTATGCTCTGGAATTTCTCGAAACTGTTGAACCATCCAGTACAAAAACTTTAAGTGAATTTGTAAGTTAATTAATAGTACAAATTCATATCAACATATAAAATATTATTAATTTTTTTTTTCGTAAATATTTTATGTGTTATAGTTGAAAGTTTGTCCAAAGCATTATTGTCTTTCGACAGTTGGAGTACGAGAAGATTTATTTAGGAGAGATCCAAAGATTGTTCCTGTCACTGATTTTTTTGGTGCTTTAAGACCAATTGAATTGACATCTAATATTGTAAATATTGTAGATTTTAACAAAAGTAACAAAACATTCTTATCACAATCAAAAGAAAAATATAAGCTTATTTCGCAGTTTCCAAATTTTTCACAATATAGTTAATATGAAAATAATGGTAGCTTTGAACAATTATATGTGTAATATAATTGCTTGAATATTCGTAAAATTACAATAGTTTAATTATATTTTATAAATTTGTAAGTTTCTATGAGTTTTCTACCAAATATGAATCATTTTGAGATAAAATAATTATATTATCTATGTATTGATGGCTTAAGTGTAATATATTACGCACATAACAATATAATATTTAAAAAATATTTTTATAAATAGGAATAGTAAACCTATTATGTATAATTTATAGTTCAAATACATAATGCAAAATTGTCAACAAGTAAAAAGCAGAAAAATCTGCAAATAACGTATCTCTTATCTACTAGTATTGTAAAGCAGTAAATATTGTATTTTATTTTAATAAGAATGTATATATATATATATATATATACACACATCATTTTAAGTTTTCTATACTTACATATCCAAATTGTTTTTAATTATATTATCAAATAAATCAAAATATAAGAACACTATATCACATTCATTCTACAAATTAGATGAATTATATCAGTATTCAACAAAGTTACAACAAATCTAATATTTTAATAAATAATAAATGATTATTGATAAAAAATAATTAAGATTCTTGATAAATATTATTTTATTTTATTATTTTTTCTAATTCGTAAAAATATTATATTAATAATTTTGTCATAAATGTTAAATTAATTTTTAATTGCTAAATCAATTTACAAAATAACTGATCAGAGCTTCTTATAATTTTAAAATTTAAGACAATTTTGTTGCACAAAAAACACTAAACTCCAATAAATCATTGTATACACTAATTACGTGTAAATAAGTAAACTTAGATTATGTAAAAATAATTAAATCATATATTGGTATGAGTGCTATTATTAATTATTATTACATTTACTTATACTGCTTTATATGAAATATATAAAATTAACAAAAATAAGTGAATATCGTGCATTAATTTGTCATAGTTTTGTGAATTAAAGTATGAAATTTATATATATGGAAATAATACTATAAGTATTTTAAAATTCATTTATTAAATGAATGTTGATAAAATAGTGTTAATTTTTCACTTCAAAATAATCAAATTATTTAAACAATTGTATACATGATAATTAATATCGAGCAATGTATTAGAAGAAACAATTTTCCAATATTTACAATCAAAAGTAATAATTTTAGATATAAATTAATTTAGAGAAGTAAACGTACATTAAATTAATTTTAAAATAAGCACATTAATTAAAAAAAAAAGAATTATATTCATAATCAAGGTCTAATTAAAAAGTGTATGATAATTGCTAATTTAAATATTACATTAAAGAGAGCTACTATTATAGTTATTATTACTCTTATTATACTAATACATTTTATAATACATTATATAATAATTTATTAATTTAATATTCATTTAAGACATTTATTGTTATACTGAAATATAAGAATTTATTAAAGCACTAATATCAACATTAAATTTATGAAATCTATAATTCAAGATTCAATTTTAATGATTTCATTTGAAACTTGAATTTAATTATAAAATCTGAAATACAGATATATTTAATTGAAAATTTGTAAGTTAGTTACTATATTTAGTTAGACCAATTGGAATAAGAAAATTATTACACCACAGATATAAGTAACAATTATTTTAAGTAAGTAATACGTAAGTTAATAATAAATTTAGTAGTAAGTCTTATACATATATTATATTACATACTATAATATGTTTTTAAACAAAAATTAAATGCAATGCTTGTAATGCAAAATAATGTATGTTTAACCACAATACAACTGTGATATTTTAAAACTATATAAAATAAATTAATAGTGTTTTTTTTTAATTTCTCAGAATCTATCAGCACATTATAGTTCAATTATTATATTCTAACTTTTGTATAATGTGATTGTGAAAGTCAGTCTAGTCATCTCTAAATTATTGATTAACTTGAGATAAATTCCTCTATACAAAAACAGTAACAATATAGTAATCTAGAACAATCAATAAGTATAGATAATTTTATAAATTCCATTCTAGAATCCAGCTACTAATTCTCTTCGAGATTCCGAATGCAACATTTCATATATCCACAAATATCTGAATAATCGAGTAAAGTATTATAAATTATTTCATGTAAGATATTTGGCCATTCTGCCTCCAAGATTTTCAACTTGTGAATAGCATTAACAGTTTGCTCGATAGAATGTGAAAGATGAATTTTCCCTTTATGTCTCCAAATAAGGTCATCCTAAATTTAATAAACAGTACCTTAATAGATGCTATATGTATATATATATACATACATGTGCTCGTTATTTTTAATATTGAAAAGATATGAATTTTCTTAACTTTTAGTTTATTTACAAATAAATATGAGATTTAAACTGACAACAAGGGGTATCTGAACAATAATTATCTTCTAAATAGTATTTTAATGTTTTAAAGTAACTGTATTTCTTCATTTAGGAATCATTCGTTATTACTTGCTACTACTATTTTATTGAAAAGAAATTATGGAAATATTATAGTACTAACAAATTGAGATATGTTTCACATGATTATTACACAAATTATTTATTACAGACATTAATGAAGTTGATATCATTAATTTTATAAAAGCACTTTCTATTTTATAATAAATGTATTGTTGAGCATTATTTTCAACCTTTTTACTCATAGTGAATTTCAATACCGAGTCTTATACAATCGTAAAGTCTTACATCTTTAAAAAATTTAATATTGGAACATTATCATTATAATAATATTTTGCAGTTTGTTTAATAGTGTAATTAATAAAGTGATGGTTCTCAACCCATTGTTGTATAAGTAAAAATTTCAATTGGAATGTGAAATATTCAATATTAAAATTATGACTAATTATTATGAATATGCTTTTAATAAATATATTTAATTACACTAAACCTGAGTGATATTGCCTTTTCGCCATTGTAGAGCTTCTTTAGCAACGACGTTTCGTAAAGATGGATCACTATTAAATAAAAACTGTTTGGCAGATAGTTGTTCCCCATTTCGTTTTTGAACTCTTTCCAGATGAAGTCGTTGTAATAAGGGTTGTAAAAGAAATTCTGGTAGTGACCATGCTACTATGTCAATTAAACCAGAATATTCTTGGTTTGCCGTAATGATATTTTCTTCTGTAATCTATTTAACATAATTTTAAATGAAGGCGAAAGTAAAAAGACTTTTAATACAATAGTACCTGAGTTCCATTTATAATTTGCAAACCCCAATGAGCTAATCGAAATACAGCATATATTTTCCAATTTTTAGATATAATAGGATTACCCTCAGCTTCAATTTGTATACTATTGAGCCCTTGTGCTTCAGCAAGTGCATTGAGTTGTCCCAAGTGACTGATATTCGTTTCTTTAAAGAAGAAATGTTCAACATTTGGAAATCTTGTTTTCAATTTATTTAAAATAGTTGCTATACCATTAAAATGTACATAATTAAATTTTACAAAATTAATTTCATTCGCTTTATTAAAATCCCATTGTTTATCAATAAAACGTAAGGCTCCTTGTCCATAAATGTTTAAACAACGTCCTACAATTTCCACTAAATAATCACCTCCTAAATAACAAATATTGTAATTTAATGATAGTATAAATAATAATAGCCTTGGAATGTAAATAAATTAAATTCTTTTTTATATTCACTTACCTTGTTCTCTTTCTCTAAGAGGAAGAGGTTGTGGTGTAGGACTTGGTAATGGAATTATTTTATGATTTGCTCTAGCTGTTGCAGCTCTGTTACTTTTGTACGGAATAAGTTTTTTCGGCTGTGCACTAATTATTCTAGCTTTGTCTGTACTTGACACAGATGAAGTACTTGAACCTCCAAATATAGATTTATTACTATCTAAGCTGCTACCTTTAAAAACTAAATCATACTTTAAATGATTATTGGTTTTTTTAAATTGACATTCCAACTGATTTTCAAATAGATTTTTTGTGCCTTTATTTAAATATTTTTTAGTTTCAAATTGTGAATCTAATGTTAAAGAATGTATATTATCTAAAGTATTATTTTTTATAGCAAGAGTCTTATTAATACAGTTTATATCAGAATCCATGGAAATAGAACGTTTACTTGATTTTATTAAATGATTTCGTAATCCACTTTTAAGACTTTGGTGACTTTCTGAAGATTCTATATCACTGCTAGAAGAATCTGTAGAATCTTGTAAGCAAGTATTTGTTTTAGTGACAGTCATTACATGTTTATGAACATTATTATTTGCTAAACTATCAATAATAGGGGCTAAAATTGGTGGCAGTTTAAATTCAAGTCTATCAATTTGATGTAACTTATCAGTTTTTAATAAATTATCAGATGAGTTGCTTTTCTTTTTACAAGATTTATCAGTTTTAATGTTGTCATTAATTACATTTAAGCTTCCAAAATCCCTTGATTTTGAATGATTTAAAGTTTTTAATCTTGAAATTTCAACTATATTTGATGATTGACAAGTAGAACCTCTTAAATGATCACTTTTTATTGTATTCATTTTACTTGTATGAGTGTTAAAATATTTTGCTTGCGATCTGAGAAGCTCCCAATTTGTTTTTGCATTTGAAATAACTTCCTCTCTGTGTACATTAACGCAAACTTGAGCGTTAAGATCTAGAAAGGCAGAATTTGATTGCTCTTTTAATGTTCGCCAAGCCATTGCAGTCCTTCTGACTTGCTCATTAACTTGCATTGTAGATATACTTTGTAGATTTGGCAAGTATGATACTAAAAAAGATATACATTCAGTTGTAAGATTTACAGGATTTCCGTCAATTGTTATTTCTTTTAGCCATAATGCTTTTGCTATACTGCCCATATCTTCAATTTTTTGTATGTCATTATTGCTCAGATATAATTTTTGTAATTCTGGTGTATTTTCAAAACCAAATAATTTCTTTATTTTGTTACGTCTTAAATTAAGTTCCTTTAATGAAGTAAGTCCTTGAAAGTCATTATAACCAATACTTTTTATATTATTTCCAGCCAAATTAAGTACTTTTAATACACTTGATTCTTCCAAACCCGATACTTGCATAATTTGATTACCGTGTAAATCTAAAACCTCTAATTTCGATAATCCTTTCAAACCTTCGATTTTTTTTATTCTGTTTTTACCTAGTATAGAGATTAAAAAATAGTAAAATTAAATGTGACGGCTACACAATTTTAAATAAACCTGTATTTAATTTCTTACCCATTAATAGTACTCGAAGATTTTCTAACGATTCAAAATTACAAAATTTATCTATTTGATTATCATAAAGATCCAAAAATACTAATTTTGTTAATTGAGCTAATCGATCATTTTCTAGTTTTGATATTAAATTATGCTGAAGAGACATTAAGCGTAGTTTTGGTTCATCGATTATCCAAGGAAATGTTGTCAAACCTCTTCTATCCAAACATATTCTATCCGGATTTTTTTCACGTTCCAAAGGATTCCGGCTAGCCACCACAAATTTACCTTCTTCTGTTTGTTGCAAGGTAACAATATTGCAGCCACCAACTTCGTCATTTTCTATTTGAGAAGTAGAACTTGTTGAACTAAAAAACATAAAATTCACAATAGGTTTTATTTTCTCCCCAAAAATAAAAATTCCAATTATAATAAATATTTTGTTACTCATTCAATGACATAATAAAATGAATTTTTTATAAATGAACATACATGAAAATTTGATTTTGATAGGATTTTCGTGTTTACGTAGAAGAAATATAAAATAGAATTCAATAAGATAGTTTGAATGCAATTGTTAAAACTTAATAAATATTATTTAAATTTTGTTGTGTTTATAATTGTATTGATTTAAATTGATTTATATTACAGATTAAAAATTGAAGTTTATTAAAATTGTTATGTTTTTTTTCTCTATTATATTAAGCACACACGTATGCATATACATCATTGTATCACTGTTTAAATATTAATACCTGAATGTATTGAAGGAACGTTTTGGTAATTTCTGAGTTATAGGCACTCTAGATAAAACTGGTAATGCTGGTGCAATGGTTAAAAATTGACTTATTTGATTTCCTTCCTTATTCTTGGTTTGTGCAGATTTACCTTTTGATGGCCCTTTAAGCTTCAAAATAAAATAAAAATATTAAGTTTTTATAAAAAATGAATTGATTTCAAAAACAATAAATAATACTGAATAAATATAAATTTATTCGCACCTTACTACTTTTCTTTGATTTGCTTATGGGCATTACCCAAAACTTGAATACCATTTATTTATTAAATTATACATTTATAATTATAGATTAGAGCATTATAAACATAATATACACCTTATTTTACTTTATTTTTTAAAATATTAAAATAATAATACAATTACAGGTGACGGTATTTACATAAAATTGATATTTATTAATTGATTACTGATTTGCATCTTCTTGTAATAATACTATTTGTGCATTTTCAAAATAATATATGAATTTGAAAATCATGTCACAAGGAAATTATAATACAATATTTGATCGATTCAAGAATTACCCGCCATCGCAACGCGTAGAATAGAGTAGACTATAAACTGTAAAAAACTGACCTTTAATAAAGTTCTACATTAGTTTGTTGTAATTAATATTTTGTAGCTACTCAATAATTTAAGTAGTATTTCATTTTTAATAAAAAATAAAATTCTTAAATTGATTTTAATAGCAAATTTTAATCTTGTATATAAATCCATAGAATTAGTATTTTATGTTTATTTTAAAATGATTGATGAATGATTTCATCTTCTAAATATATTTCTTACTTATGCATAAAAGACAATGTATAAATTTTATTCAATTTATATAATAAAATTAATCGTATTTAAATACTAATTTAATGTTTTTGGCATTTTGTATTGTAATTAATCCAAAACCTACTCTTGTAATCTGCATTTTCTTTTCTGTTCGCTTTGTGGTGTAAATGACAAATATTCATCTTAAACTACTTAATAAATTATTAAATCTATTCGAATTAATATCAGTAGTCTCTATTTATTATAAAATATTTCATAAATAATTTTCTATCCTTTTAATCAGTTTTCTATAGTTTATAATTTTAATAAAAATTATTAATACTACATCGCTTTATCTTTTATACACTTAGTACAATATTAACACGTAAAAATAATTATTAAAATTTGGAACAACTTTCTGGCATCGATATTTTTTACACTTAAAATGCATAAATATTATTAAAAATTATACTGTGTATTAATTTATATTTATATATTCTAATATAACAAATTTTTTTTTTTAAATATCTCAATGAATATTATTATATTCTATAATACATTAAATAAATGCAATGAAATTAATTTTTTATTCATTTTTTAAAAGCTTAATGTAAATTTAAATTTCAGAAAATTTCAGACATTAATATTTAAAATTGTTGCTTACATTCACGTGTCATATTATTATTATTATTAATTAAAAATAATGTAATTAAAAATATTTATAAATAATGTAGCTTATTGTTTAAAGAAAAATAAGAAATTATTAAATAAGATAATATTAAATACAAACATTTAAATATGTGTAGTTGTAGATCTTATAAGAGCAGAATAAAGTATAAATTTAAGCTATAAGCTCCAGATAGTTTATTATTATTCTAATAATGTTTATATTAATTACGTTTGTATATTAAGCAATTAATTTTTTATTGTTTGATTTTTCGTCTTTCCTAAGATTTATGACGTAATGAACGTCATATTACATTTTTTAAAACCTTTAGTATTTATATAATTCAAAATAACTTTGTTAACTATGTTTCGATTCTTACAAATAAAAAAAATTATTCCTATGGATAAGAGTATTCAAGCAAATAATTATGCTGGACATGGTAAGAGTTAATTTATAATTTATATAATTTAGTTTGTACAAATTTTTTTGAGGTTATAAGTATATAGATAAATAATTTTTAAATAAATATAGCTTTAACAATAGAAACTGAAACTAAATTTTTTCCAATAGTAGCATTAATATAAAGTATGGAAATAATATATATATAAATATATATTTTTATTTAAATATTTTATATTTTAATATTGTTTAGAAATTGTGTAAATATTTCCTTAGATTCTAATGTAAATTGAAATGTCAAATAAATTTATTCAAATAATTGATAAAATTAAAAGAATTTAAGATCTAAATTTTTGTTTAATTAAAATAAACTTTTTAAAAATAAACTTCTTTTGTCCGTATATTTTGATTGATCCTTCTATTAAAATCTACATTATATTTTCACCATATCAGAATATAATTTATATTTGAATATATGGTCTTATATTCAAAAATATGTTTTTTAGGTTTAACATCTGGTAAATCAAAAAAAATTAATACAAGCTATTCAGTACAAAAAATAAAAATAATACCAGTTGAAAAAGATGTTCACAAATTATTGAAATTTTGTTGCGGAACAAATATTTTAAAGAATGGACAAGATGTGGAATTAAAGCCTGATTCAGAATATCCAGAGTGGCTATGGAATATACGTACAAAACGTGCAAAACAAATTCAGCATCTTGATCCAAATACAAAGGAATATTGGAAAAAACATAGAAAATTAGCACTTCAAAGACAAGCTAAATTAAATATTTTTAAATAACTTTAATTTTTACTTAAGTTGAAAATATTTGTTTAATATGTTTTATTAATTAACTGTAATAAAAAATAATTTATAATAAAATCTACACAAATTGCATTCATTAAAACTTGATGATACTCATATAAGAGTACTTTAATTAACAAGATATAAAATTTTACATTAAATTTCTTCTGAGTTCTGATATTACTATAACTATTATTATGCTTTACTTATAAATAAATTCTTTATATTCTTTAATGTTATTTAATATTGATATGGTACTAAATAATAATAAGATAAAATAAATAAAGTTATATTTAGATAAATTAGATGTATTCAATATATTGAAACACATTTTATTGAAGAATCTTGTATATTTAAGAAACAGTTTGTAATCCATTATGTTCAAATATAATTTAAAAAAAGTAAAAAGAAAGCAAATAAGATTTAAGAAATTAAATTGTAAAAAATGTCTAATAAACGTTCGAACAGAACGTTTTTTACAATATTTAAAAATAAAAAAAAAAATTTAATTTGGAGCATATATAAAAACAATATAACTAATGCAGATTTAGAATCAGTTTCTTAACTAACTAATTTCTATATGCATCACTGTATAAAATTATCCTTCTAAAATAACGAATCATAAAAACCTATATATAAAATACTTTATATATTTGTATGTGAATAAGAGAATTTTCTCTGACAGTTTAAATTTATGAAATACAAAATTAATATTAAATGTATATAATTATAATTACATCTATAATCATTATTATACTATCGCTTAGACCATACTATAATTAGGCATAATTACAATTTACATTATTAGTTTCTATTTAAGTGAATTCAATAATCTTATACAGATGTAATTTATGATATAATGATATATTTCAAATAAATAGGAGAGATGAAATTTTTATATAGATTTATTTTTATACAGCAAACTTTTATTTATTGTTTTTAATCTACATATGTATTACGCAATGCCAATTAAATTCATGGACTATGCGTAGGTTATTGAACACAAATATTAAATTTTGGCTAATTTTTAATCTATTTGTTGTCACTGTTTGATAGTCAAAGATCCTATGCATTATATTTCTAATTGCATTGACGTATCACTGGCTGCTAGATTAATAATCACTGAATTGTGAATGGTGATATAAAAAACATGCTGGAAAGTTGAAAATAAATACAAATATATTAATATAATTATTTGCATAATGTTAAGTTTATTTTATTAATATATTAATTTAAATTATAACTTTGTTCTAGATTTATATTGAATATTAAAAATGTTTCATTTAATTAGAAATCGTTGAATTTGTACAATAAATGTACAAGTGTACTAGATTATCTATTGCATTGATATTTTCATTATCAAAAAGTTATTGAAATAAATAAAAACATGTATTGAAAATGAAGTTTTTTATAATGTATATCAAAAAGAATTAATATGTAAGAATTTTATCTTGAATATGAAATTATGCTATGAATTAAAATATTAAATTCAAGATATTAATAATAAAAATATAATTAAATGTATCATATTTAAAATAATTAAATTCATGATATTATTAATTCGAAAAATAAAATTTTTAAATATTTTTGATTATCACTGTAATTGTGTTGCACTATAATCTACTGTAAAATGTTCACACGCGCAGATACACATTATTATTATTATTATTATTATTATTATTATTATTATTATTATTATTATTATTATTATTATTATTATTATTATTATTATTGAAAAAATATTATAATTTGATTGTGAAATTAATAATCATAAATTTTTTCATTTGCAAATAACGGTGAATTTTACAAAATTTTATTTCAATTTCAATTTAAATACTAATCTATTATAAAATAAATGGAAAATCATCTCATCTTCAATTGTATTATAGAAAAATATAATTAAATTATATACTTGTATGATCGTTGATTAATTCATCTCGTTTTGAATGCTCTCACCAGTTGAATAACAAAAGTTCAGCCCACGACCGCTAATGCTACTAGAATCGTATTCAACGTTTCATCGAGCCACTTATTTTTTCTTTTACCGTTTGGATTTCCTAGGCATACGTCTATATTCATACACATTGCCTCTCCCTCACTATCACTGTAGATATTCGATTTTCACTAAATCCACACAAATGCATTTCTGACATAAAGGTTATTTAATTGCTTCTCAAGTGACTCATAATATTATTTCTCATATATCTCTCGAATATTATTTAATATATATTATTATATTACATATACGAGTATGGCATTGCAATGAAAAATTGCACATAGCCGGGATTATTGAATTAATTTGTGAAAGAGTAATTGAGTGAGGATAAAGCTATGTAAAAGAAAGATTTATGCACAATAAAGATTTTCATTAATTATTAAAATATTCAATGATTGTCATTGATATTTATATTTGATTTTTAAATTTATTTTATTAAAATGGACGACGAGCTTGAAGATAAAATACTATATCAGGTATATTTTTATCAATAATTTATTATCAAGTTTTTAAATATTAATTTTGTAGAAATACGTTTCAGGTTAAGTACATTTTCCCATCGAAGTATATGAAATTGAATTAAATTATACAGAAGAGGCATTATTATTAACATTCTTCAATATTTACGTATTTATTAATTTTAATTTTTCGTTTGATAGAATTAAATTAAATTAAAAAGAATAATTAAAATTGAAAAATAATCAATTAATATTTTTGTATTGGCTATATAATCAATTATTGATAATAAAAGAATTTTTTATGAAAAATAATCTAACTATAAATAATATTATAAAATAAAATTCTCTATTATCTAAATAACAAGTTTGTATAAAAGATTGCTCTATAAATTTATATATGCGTATTCTGTCTGTATTTATCATAGTTTTATCAGCTCATTTATAATTATATTATAATTTAAAATTGGATTTCATAAATGTTACAGTATTAAAAAATTAAAATTGATAAAGCATTTATATTATAATATTTGTTTCATTTTTCAGACATACTTATCTTATATGAAATTAGTATCAAAATTTGCAGTGAATATACCCACTTCAAGTATTAATACACCAATAAGTTATTTTTGGCACTTTGCACGCAGATATTTTATTAAACCTGAAATGTTGCTATTGAGTATAACATTATTCATAATGTTTAACTATCTGCAAACCGTTGAAATATGGCGAACAAAATTATTAGGAAAATTTCAGTATACACTTGAACGAACTATGTCAAAGGTATTATAATATTGTTAAACAATTTTTTAACTCCAATGCTGGAAAAACATTTATATTCTAATTAAGTATTCAATTTATAGTTTCTGGTAAATGATTCTTCTATTGAAAAATCTGGCTGGGAATTAAAACAAGCTACTACAGCAGCATATGCTATTCAAGGTAAAAGACGTCAAATGGAAGATCGTTTTGTAGTAAATAATAATATAAGTAATACAGGTGTTTCATTATTTGCCATATTTGATGGTCATGCTGGCGAGGTATATTTATCAATTTATCATAAAAATTTAAACCGTTAAAGTAATATTATTTTCTAATTAGTAACAATTAGTTTGCAGCAAATTATGCACGCGATAAACTTATACCAAATATTAGTGAGCAAGTAGTTAAATTAAAAAATATAATATCTGGAAATACTTCTGAAATCGTACAAATAAATAAAAATTCAGTAGATAAAAACATAAAAAATCAAGAAAGTTTTAAAATTAGTGCTAATTTAAGCGAAAGAAGAAAATCACTACATAAAACTAGTTTATCAACGGATGATTCTACCAAAAAAAATATTGGTATTACAGATCCTGAATTACTTGATAAACTTGATAGCCTTTCAAAATCTATTACTAGACAGGTAATAAATACTTGAATTAATAATAATTATTGTAAGCATTATATTTAATTATTATATTAGGTAAGACCAAGTCGTACTGACAATGTAGAAAATTCTTCAAAAGTTGATATAGCTACTTATCTAGATGGAAACAAAATTAATTATGGACGATTATTAACTGATCAAGTTCTTGCAACAGATAAACAATTAGTAGATGATGCCAAGAAAAAAATGGATATTGCAGGCAAGAATGTTTTCATTTCTCATTTATTTGCATAAATTTTAATTTTTTTTTTTATCAATACATTTATCTATATCTGTATGTATATTTTACAAAATTACATTTTGTATGTGCATGCAGAATTAACAATATATATACATTTGAAACATTGATTTTGTAACTTATTAATCCACTTTTAATTATATAAAAATGAACGAACCAGATTTCATTTAATTATAAATAGAACTTTATTATTTTAATGTTTTAACAATAAGTTTCTGCTTAAATAATAAATGATGAAACATGAAATTTTGTAATTAAAAAAATTGATAAAAGTATCATTATCTACTTAAATTAATTCTTAATTTAAGATTATTTCAGATTGAAATTAAATATAATTTCGACATCGTAAATTTCTATTCTATGTGTAAATTTAAAAAAATTGTATTCAAATCTTGTGTAAACTGTTTCAATCATCCTATCAGTCTTATTAAAATATTCTAAAAAGTATTAGTGTACCTTTTTTAAATTAATTTTAAAAACACGGTTTTAAGAAAGTCTTAATATTTTATTATCAATTGTAATTATTTTATAGCATTTCACTTGTATTTTTACTAAATAAATTTATACGAATCTAAAAGATTAATTGATTCAAAATCAATATCTCGATTAAATAATAATCTTATATCTTCTGTGCAGAACAATTTTGACAATGGCATCATTATTGTATTTCACATAACGTATAAATTACTCAACGAATTTTTAAAATTTAGATAAAATAATTCTTAAAGTAGATAATTTTTCATTTTATATACAATTAATATTGTGAATAATTGTGAATAATTAATCCATATTTCTTGCAACTTTATCTAACTGCAAATTTGTAGCTTTTTAATGCTAAACAAATTAATTTTGTGGATAAAGAAAATTTTTTTTAATTTAATGGTGATAAACAATTATAATAAAATGTTGTTTGTTTTGGATGAAAAAGTTTGTTGTATTGAGGTATTTTTTCTGAATATTATGCTCATATTAAATCACATTAAACCATAAATTCATACTTAAAGTTCATGTATATTAAACGCAATATAAAATTGACATTAAAAACTATAACTTAAAATGTATTTTATTAAACAAATACAAATTATAATTTCAGAATAGTTATCTGTAATAGATTGTTATATAATTAATTCATCGATTTGTGATTCGACATCAATTTATTAATTTTATAGAATCAATGTAATAACATACATTTTAATTCAACTTTTAAAAAAAATATATGATTTCTAAAAATATTGTATCACAAAATACTGTAGATAAATTATTAAGTAGAGTAATTTCCATTGAAGAATGTCTTCGTAATTTTTCAATAGTAATTAAAAATGAATGTAAATTATTAGTATATAAATAGAATAAATTTTTCGTTTAGGTACAACAGCGTTGATTGCTCTTTTAGAAGGTAATAAATTAATTGTCGCAAATGTAGGAGATTCTAGAGGAGTTATGTGTGATGGGAAAGGTAACGCTATTCCGTTATCGTTTGATCACAAACCACAACAGGTATGGTTTACTTAAAATATTGCAAATAAAAGGGATTTTATAGGAATTATGTGAATAATTATTAATTAGGTTATTAAAAAAAAAAAGTATTATATCAATTACTAATTTTTATATTATAAATAGTTTATTTTAATTTAAGCATACTAATCAAAAGATTGTGGTCTTGATTTATTTTAATAAAATTTAATCATAAATACTATCCTATTAAACATATTTTTTTTTATACAATGAATGTCTTTATTTCATTAAAATATAATTACTTTAAAATTTTTATATTTAATTTTAATTAATAGTTAAATTTCAAGAATTAAATAGTTTATGAAATTCGAAAAAATATTAATAAATAAACAGAACGTTTATTACAAAATGTTTATCAGTCTTAAAATTTTTGTAATAAAATCAAAATATTTCATTTTTAAATATAAAAATAATATAGTTTTGCTTTAAAGACAATTTGAAAAATATACATTTAGATTAGCTTTAAAATATATATTTTTGAAATTGCAACGAAAATAAAAATGTAATTATTGTTGCGTAAATATACTTTATACATTAATTATATTATAGATTTATTAAATTATAGCCAATTGAAATGGTTTGGAAATTATTGTGTCATTTAAATTAAAAATAGTTTTTTATTTCAATAAATGTATTATTAAAAACATTTTTGTTAAATTTTGTTTATTTATTAATATTTTCTTCGTCTATGTAAGTGTCAATTCGATTTAAATGTATATACATATTTTTGAAGTTATGTTAACAATCCTACAATAAATTAATTTCAAATACTTGATTAAATTAATTATGTTTATAAATATAAAACTAATTGTTTTTCATTCGCATATTATAATAATTAAGGTATTAGAGACTTCTGTTAACTTGAGTATTACACATTTATACATATAATATCCATATTTTTTGTCCATATAATATATAATTAACGCTTTAATATTAATTTTTTTTTGTAGCAAAGAGAGAAAAATAGAATATATAAGGCAGGTGGAGTTATTGCTTTTAATGGTGTGTGGAGAGTTGCTGGTATTTTAGCCACATCACGAGCTTTAGGAGATTATCCTCTCAAAGATAAAAAGTTAGTTATAGCAGAACCAGATATCTTAACATTTGATCTTAATGATCACAAACCAATGTTTATTATATTAGCAACTGATGGTTTGTGGGATACTTTTTCAAATGAAGAAGCTGTAGCTTTTATAAAAGAACGTATTGATGAACCACATTTTGGAGCTAAAAGTATTACACTTCAAAGTTACTACAAGTACGTAATTAAAAACTATAATTCTTTTAAATTCATATTAAATATACGGAATTTTACTTTGATTTTTCACAGAGGATCTTTAGATAATATTACAGTGATTGTAATTAAGTTCAAAAATCGTGAATGTAATACAAACATAAATGAAACATCAATATGATTAGTAAATTTTTTGTTTTTTTAAGTATTCTAGTCAGATGTTATCAATTGCTTATGTATATTACAGGGATTTGTAATTGATGAACACATATTTCATTATGTAATTATATATTTTCATAAATAAAAAGATATTATTAACTAATACATGTATTTTTAATAAAAAATAAAATATAAAATATTTAGTTGTAAAACTATAATGTGAACAAGTTTGTATTGTTGGTAATTTTACATTTATTATAATACAAAATCACAATTACAAAATAAAGGCATTAAAGCACTTTATTTTTAATAAACTAAAATGCAAAGTATACAAATTTATATTCGTAATTATATTTTAATATGTACAATTATATTTATTTTAACAAATATTATATAAGCAATAATTTTATCTTTACTGGTTAAAAAAACATAATAAACACATGGTTATTTAAAATGTTATTGTTTATAAAATTGAATGAAGGGTCTGCTTTTTTTTTTTTATTGTACGAATTAGTAATTTCATTAAATTTATTCAATTAGATGTAATGTAATTAGGCAGTTCATGTTTTATCCATATTTTTTTTATATAAAGAAAATATTTAATAGAAATATATAAATAGAAGAATAGAAATATGTACAGAGTATTGATTGAATAAAAATTAATTATTTTTCCTAGCTATGGATAGTTTTAAATTATAATAATAAAGTGAGAAATGTATATCAATGCATAATTTCAAATATGTTTTATGAAAATTACAATTTTCAAACAATATAATTAGAATTACCTAAATTGTTTAAACATATAATTATGCTGCATATAATAGAATTTTATTCTTTTCTTCTATTCAGATTTATTTTCAAGCTCACCAAATTATCACTCAATTAAGTAAATTTAGAATGTGATGAAAAACTGAATTGTGTAGTCACTTTAGTGTTGAATTGTAAAAATTTTTGTGTATATAAAACTGTTGATTGTCAACCAAGTAATTCAAAACCTTCATCAGATGGGTGTCCTAAAACTGAAGATAAAAAATAAAATTAATAAATTTACGGTGATTTATATATTGAAATGTATGAATAAATACAATAAAATAATTAGAAATAAATATAAAATGTTAAATAAACTATAAATTACAATTAATTTTTAATAATTTATTTCTGCTATTTTCTGTCTCCATTTTGAAGTCAGTATGTACAGATACAAAAATTGATCCAATAAAGAAATTAAAACTGATGCGATTAATTTCAATATTATTTTTATACATATAACTATTCAAAAATTATATATTGTATATAATAATTAATTTTTCGGTCTAATTTAGAAAACTTTTTGTATATACATAGAAAAAATAAAATGGAATAAATTCTCAAGATTATTTATAAATATTTTAGAGTTCAGTTTTATTACGATCCTGTTAAGTAACTTGAAACCAATAAGTTAATAAAATCTATCAATTTACGAACAATCAATTTAATTACAACTTTTATATAATTATATAAAAATTTATTTAATTTGAATTTTATCTAAAATTGAAATATTCAACGTAAATCCCTGCCTATTATTAAATAAATGATGATAATTCATTTATTATGCATAACCATTTTATATTTTTGGAAGTTGTAAGTACGCGTTAGCAATAAGTCTAAAAATATATTTATATAATAAATAAAAGCAGTAAAATATATTAGCTATTTTTAAAAAATTTTTTATCTTACACATAGATGCGGTAGCTCCCAATGCTTCAGCTGCAACATCTTCAGCTGGTGACCAGTTTGCTGGTTTTTCTGAACATAATTCAAATAGAGGCTGTTTCTCATTGATAATCAGTTCTTCTTGCATTAGCCTACATAAAGATCTGAATTGTTTTTCATTGGCACAAAAAAAACACTGCAATTAACGTATTACATTTTTTGATCATTATGATTTTATTAAATTCAAAGATATTTTAAAATCAATAAAATTAAAAAAATAAATAAATATTTACTAACAAGAGCAACGGAAGGATCCATTTCTATTATTGGTATGCGACTAGCAATTTTACAATGATAAGTTGCATCTACTTCCACTTCGCTTTCATCAGATTTGTTATCAACGCTACCAGAACGCTGAGTTGTATGAGGATCTAAAAAAATTACTTCCTCACCTAGTAAAAAATAAATAGTTCTTATAAAATTTCCATTTAGTAATTATAATTTTATTTCTTTTATTGACTAACCAACATATCCTATAAAATATAGAGCATGACTTGGTTTTCCTCCAATCAGTCCCAATGACTGAGGAAATTGAAACGAAGTCTGCAATAGAAAAATTTAATATTTACATGATATATATTTAAAAAATAAATAAGGCATAGACTTATACTTTGAGTCCATTAACATATATAGGATTGATTTCACTTAATCCCAATCTAAGTGGTATCAGTAGTAGTAGTGGCTTCCACTGACTAGGTGCTTTTAAAGGTTTTTCTCCATCCACTTCTGCTGTTGTTGCTCCCTCCACTCGACATTGCCTCACTACGATTTATAAAAGTACTATATTTTACTGCAGATAGTGGTATGATTAAATATTAAAATAATGGAATATATTTTATACTCACAAACGTCATTTATAACTAACGCATTATCTAAAGCAACATGAATTGTAATAGAGCTCCAATCATCATAAACAACTAATTTCCTAATAAAAAGAAAACAATTTTGATTAAGTATCGATATTCATTATTAATAATTAAACATAATAATTTCTGTTTGCACATAAATAAATTGAAACATGTAAGAAAAAAGTGTTTAAAAAAGATTGTATGAAATAAATTAGTTAATAAATGTTTATATATTTTGATATTAAGATGCCTACTTTAATACTTGAGCAACGGTATTAGGACCAAACCACTGTCCAACATCTTTTCCTTCAGATGCTCCCATTAATGCTATTTGATGAATCGAATATGGGGCAGCTCTTCTATCTTCAAATCGTTTCAAAATATTTAAGTAAGTGCCGCTTCTAGTTTCCGGTGTCCATCTCCAATCTCTACCTGTTTATAAATTTATGTGTGTATATTAACAATAATAAGATTATTTTAAAAATTAGAAGAAAAAAAATTAATTTTAACATAATGCCATACCTAAATGTAAAGATATTAAAGCTTGACCTAATACCATTTGACCACATCTTAACATACATCCCCAACCTTTATCAGATGTAAATGTAGAGCCAAACCCACCAATAGGAACGAATCCTTTTCGATAAGTAAACCAAAGCCTAGACCTAATATCCCTACGGATAGCTTCTATATCTGAAAATATAAATGATATTGAAATAATCAATGATATTGAAATTTCATTAATTAAGAATTATAAAATAATTTTTAATTCTAAAAAATCTAAAATACATAATTGTAATTTTTACATATAAACAACAAATTGTAAAACTCATTGCGGATCGAACAATATTAATTACTTAGAAATTCTAAATTTTTTATTAAATTGATTGATAATTGAAAACAGTTAATAAGAAGGTAAGGAAATATTACCTTTTTTAGCATTATATTTTATACCCAATATCCATACACAATTTTCTGTCAGTGGTATATCATCGGGCTCATCGGATGAATTTTGTGTAAACAAATGATCCATTATAGTAATCCTGGTATATAATTCTGGTAGGCTTATCAACGTTTCATGTGGAATGAATACGCCCGAACACTATAAATATAAAAAGTTAAATAAGAAAGATTCAAGAAGATAAAAGAATTAAATTCTTATTCTTATAACCCATTGAAGTTTAATATAAATTTAATAACAATTTCAATAGGTTATGAAATCATGACACATCAAAACAATTAAATACTTACCTTGAACAAGTTTGAAAACATTGGACAAAGCACTGTTAACTTGAATTATAAAATATCGATAAAATCATTACTTAGTTACTAATTTAATTAATTGAATTTCTCCATAATCTTGGAGATCCGATACAAATGTCAACACATTTTCATCCAAATTATATTGCTTGATCTATAAATACAAGCAGAAGATCATCTCATTCCCTCGGCTGATGAACAATTGCTAATTAAATATCAACCCGTGATAGTAATTAGTTTTCAGTGTTTGTTATTTTTAAATATCTCCAAACGGTTCACCAGATTTAATTAAAATTTTAAACAAAAATTATAAATATTTGTTCCTAAAATTTTTAATTTTTTGTGTTAGGTTTTTCAGAAATTCAATTCAATAAAATTATTTCGAAGAAATACGTCTTGCCAATTCTTGCGTATGCAATCTAATTATGTTACCTAGTTATACGCCACTTAATAATGCATTTCCCATATTTATCGACTTCCTTCTTATTATTCATTAAATATTATAAATAAATTTTCTATAATAATTTTTCTTTTAATAAACATTTAATATGCTATTATTGTTGATGATTCGATATTATTAATAGTTAATTTTAACTCCAGTGTTTTTGTCTTCTACTCTTCGTCTGTTCAATCCCAATCCCTACCCCGCTATATTACAGAATACAAAACCAAAGATCTAGAGACTTTAGAATACTGAACTATACCACTAAAGAGATCAAAACAGGCCATAAACTAATGCACAATTCAGGTAGATGCGAGTTACAATAAAATTACAATATTGCACTCTACTTAAAATAAATTCCATCGACTTTCATATTCTAATTTCTTATATTTTCATATTTCAAATTAATGATAATTTATTTACACAAAATCAATTGTTTTCATTTAAAAACATTTTATCCGGCTTTTACATTACAAAAATTACTTTTATTTTTTAAACATCAATATTTCTTGACAAATATAATTTCTTTACTACTCTGTGATCATTTTAATATTGCAAATTGATTAGCACGGTCGTAGAAAATAATATATTTTTCTTTAATGAACTGCGAAAGGTTATATTATTCCTTCAGTTTGAGCGGGATAATTTAAATAATAAGTTTCTGAATTTTAATTATAAATTGCATTAACGAACAGTAACTTAGAAAATCTTAATTATTAAAATTTTAATTAAAATATCAATAATATCTAAAATAATAATTATTTTGTACACGTGATGCAATTGTTTCAAAATTTATAATTTATTATTATTTTTTTATGTTGCTGATAGGTGTGTCATAATAATAGAAAGAGGAAATTACAATTATAAGTTAATACAAATATACAGATAACTAAATCTAGAGATTATCTTTGAGATAGCTAAAGAAGCTGTAAAGCAGTTTTTAATAGCAAAAAGAAGCGCTAGAATTGGTGATTATTTGCTTGAATTTTTAATGAAAAATTAAAGATTATTACATGCAGTATAATAAGTAAAAACTATCAAAGGATAGCAAGTTAACTCATAGAATTCGGTATTCATAAAATGCTTGCACTGTTTTTCAAGTGATTTTATTCTTTTTTTCGATTATTATTGTTATTCAAATTATTATTCAAATTATTTTATTCAAGATTACATGGAATCTGATAACTCAATCGTAAAACTAAATTCTTAGTTATTTTACAAAGTTAATATTAAGATTTCTTTTTTTTTTTTTTTATTTTTTTTTTTTTTTTTTTTTTTTTTTTTTTTCTTTTTTATTAACGAGTTTGGCATTAACAAACTTTCAAACTTATAAATTACTTTTAAAATCATAAGTATTTTAAGAAATTATATACAAAGAAAGTGAATACAATCAATATCAATTGCATCAATACTTTCATTAAGTATTTTAAAGTAATTTTTGTGAATTAAATGAGTGAATAATGAACAATAAAATGAGGTATATACATATGGAGGATTAATTTTATTTTGAAATATCAGCCAGAACTAAAGCTATTGCTTACAGCTATCCCTTAAAAAATTAAAATCAAATTAAATAAAAAAAACCTCTAGTTTTACTATATTCTATGTTAAATTAAAATACTATTTAATTTTATCTATTAATAATGAGGATTGTTATTTAACAGATTATATAAATAGATTAATAAATTATTCAGAATATGTGAGAGATAAAAAAGAAAAAGCTTCGTATTAGGGTTTACCTTTGAATATAAGAACTGTAACCTAAGGAAAAAGGTCAATCACACTGCTTTAAGACACGCCTACTTATACATTATTTTTCTAAAGTACTTATGTCTTATATACTTTGCCTTGTTATTATTATATATATAAAAAAAAAATGTTAATCGACTTAAAATATTTATTTTTGATACAATATCAAACAGAAGTAGCGTGACGTAATAATTAAAGCGAATCTTATTTTATAACATTAAAAGACACATAATGTTAATATAAATACTTTCTTCTTGTAAAGCATATTATATTATAAATGAATTTTTTTACTATGAAAATTTCATCAATGAGATAATATGAAATCCAAAAGAATTTTTCACCTAATGTACTAATATAAATACAAATTATATTTTTAAAATATTTTTTAAAAATGAACACAACATTGATAATTGTAATTTAAAAATAATATAATTTACTAAATATTAATAACTATTTATCTTAATATAAAAGTTGAATAAAAAAAAAAAAAACTGTTTGCGAATTCTTTATTAATTTTAGAAATTTTAACGTTTAAATTTTTATACTTTATGTTTATTTATAAAATATTTTTCATGAACAAAATACATCTATAGATAAATTCTTATAAATCATATAAATTTCTTTGTTACAATTCTTATAATTTCCAATATTATTAAATATTATTATTATGATAACAAAAAATCAATTAATGTAATTTCAATATATACATCATAAAATATTCGTTTTAATAAAATATATTGAAAGTCTCTATAATTTTTGGCATTATAATTAGTATAATTTTTCGAAAACATAATCATTAGTTTATAATTTTTTTAACATTTCTAAAATTAATTTCATTATAAAAATGATAGTATTAAAATTTTTTTTATATTATCTCACTAAATACTCATAAATTTGAACGCCTAAATAATGAAAATTTAAAAAGTTTTGATGAAATCAAAAACGTATGTATTGTCAAAGTATAATTTTTTTATTTTATTTTTATTTTATTTGTACTCGTTTTTCATGAAAAGTAATTTACATTTATTTCACTTTTTTAAGGCTTAATTACAAATTTCTTATTTACAAAATGGCGATGCATTTATTATTAATAATTATTTTTTTTTTTTGTAATAAATGCAACGTGTAGTGAAAAAAAGACAATTAACATTATATTATAGCAAAGATTATGTAGTTGACATCAATGAAAAAAGTAAAAGGAGTGAACTACAAGTTGGAAAAAGAAAGAGAAAATAGAGAAAAAGAGAGATTGAGTTGAGGTATGCAAACTCAGAATGCATACGAGTCATAAAACGGATATTGCTACCATATGCTTTACGTTTACGTTTACGATTGCAAAATTACTCATTTTTTTATATTTTTTAATACGAAGCTCTAGCGACAATCAAGGTAAAAATAAACTTTAAAATAAAAAATTTTTTATCGATTATGTTTAAACTTTTATGCAAAATATTATTATAGTTGATATTATGTAACCCAAGAGAAATCAATAGATTCAATGAACATTTAATTAGAAAATTATTGTATTAAGCAAGTAATTGCAATGAGTTAAACAATTGGTGTCTATTTAATCAAATTTTTATTTAACATACTGTATCTTATAAAAAATTATATTAATAGAAAAATATGTAATCAATGATATTAGAATATATGAATTTTATCTTATTAATTACTTTTTCAAGTACAATTACTTTTTTAAAAACAGATTAAGAAAAATTAAATTAATTTATTTTTAATGTTGTATAATTTTATGTTTGATTAAATTAATAATTCAATCAACTTTTAAAATAAGAAAATTTCTTTTAAATATTTTGTTTATTGCAAATAAAAAAATTAAAGATTCTTTTAAAGCAAATTGAATTATTTATTTTTAAATAGGCATTACAAATAATGATTAAATTAATAAAATATCTATACAATTACGTATTGTTAATGTGAGGGTATTTTGTTAACAAAATTCTCTATGTGTATAATGGAAAAATTTTTTTGTTTAAAGTGAAATGATAAAAATGGATATATTGAGTAGTATATCATATTGTAGATATAGATATACTGTTATATGAATTTAAAAAATTTTTAATCAATAAAAGTTCGTTTTCCATTAATACGTGGCAGTGATTGTCTATGCTTAAACGATATTGCACTATGACATTGTTTTTGTATTTTATTGTGCACGATTTTTTAAAATATTGCAGGATTAGATCATCACATTTGACAATGGTAAATACCATGACTAATAAATATTAATAATACTTAAAAATTTTATTTTATTTCAAATATAGATCGAATGTGCTTATAATGTTCAAATGAATAAGTATCACTTATCAAAAAATATAATAAATGATTCTAGTTATATATTACTTCTCTCTTAATTAAATATGTTTAATACAATTACAAATAATAGATTGATGTAGATTTGGTTTTCAACATTAATATCTAATTACATTGTATTAAAAATAAATATCACATAGGTATTGTAAAAAAAAAAAATAATAAAAATTCTATCATATAAAATTATTTAATAAAATTCTATCATATAAGTTTAAAAAATAATAATAGTTTAGAAAGTATATACATTTTTTATCGATTGCTTAATATTACATAAAACATTTACTAAAAATAATTCTTTGTTAAAATTTATCAATATTTAGATGATATAAACGTTTTCAATTTTCTTTTGATATTTATTTTATGTTTCAATATAATTTTATATTTTATAATTTATTATATAGTTAAGGTTTTATTAATTTTTTATTATTTATATTTATAAGATACCATTTAAATTTTGTTTAATTATTTAATAATGCATATAATATAGATGAGCGTATAATGATTTGATGAGTTTAATGATTTTTCCAATACAAGTGAATATAGTATAAAAAAAAAATGATATTATACGTACGAATACGTTATGATGAGTTTACAAGCTTTTTACAAATGTTTTTGATTTTATTTATAAATTTAAATGATAAAATGTGTATTATATAGAATAATATTAGAAACTATTATATAAAACAATTAAAATAATCATTGTATTCTAAAATATAAACAAACAGACAAACTTCAAATAGATATAAAGTTTTATTATTTCTATTTGTATTTTAAAATGACAA